TGAGTTATTGTTTTTAAAATATTTATTCAATTGTTTTGACTGATTGTGAAATATTTTTCTAAACCATGTTAAAGTAAGCATTTATACATGTTAACGCATTTGTCTAAACATTAATTTGAAATAGATTTTTAAAATTAATTAAATGAAGTTTTTAATTATATTAAATAGGTTTTTAAAATTTTTATTTTACTTATAAGTTCTTAAGGAAATAAGAAAAAGACAACAATCAATTTGCAGGTTGCAATTTGCAATTTGCAGTTTGTAGCTTTGTGTGTGTAATGTGTTTTCAAATTTTTTTTTTCCGTCCTTTTAAATTTCATCAATACATGCATTGGTTTTTATGTGACTAACAACTCAACCGAGCGAATAAGAAAAGTCAGTTAAGCTTTTAAGAACAAATACATGATAAAAGGAAAGCAAGAGAGGGGATAATCTTCACATTTTATGCACCTAATTATATAATATTTTCATTTTAGGTGCACAATGATAATGTGTTATCAAAGCTGCATTGGCTCAACGTGCACGGCAAGAACGTGAAAAAAATCAGAACCCATGTTCTGCATACCAATTAGGACAACGCCTGCGACGAAAATAAGAGAAATCAAATAAATGTATTAACCCAAGACAACCTTCTTTAACACCCAATTGGTAAACAACTCTGTTAAATTCTTGAAATATATACTCTACTATTACCACTTTATTATACAGACTTTAATTTGTTCGCAATCCATTTTTGTAGGCCTACTCCTCCAACCCAATCTAGAAATGTTGGTGTGGTCATTCGTGATGAGCATGATCTTAATGTTATTCGTGTTTGTGGAAGTATAAAATCAAGTCAAACATTGTACGTATTTTATTTATATAAGTTTTTTTTAATAAATTTTTTTGAATATTTTATTTATATTTGTTAGGCAAAAGAAAAAGAAAAGGTCAACCCAATGTCTAAGGAAAAAGAAAAGGTGGCTCATTCTGACAAGAGAATGACAAATGCATGTCAAGTAGTATATATTCCTTTTAAAAAATATGAAGCAAAACTATGTGAATTTGTTGCTTTATGTTGTTTTTGTAGAATGATTGTAATGTATTCTCCTATGACTTGTTATTATTTATGTGTTTTCCAAATTTATTTATTTTTATTTTGCATGGATACATGTGCATTTATAATGTACCATATGAAGCAAATAGGGAAAAAAAAAAATGAAGGAATAAAGACAAACTATCTAATGAAAGGATAAACTAAATAAGATAGATTTTTATTGCTTCTTTATTTTTTTAATAAAAAACAAAATGCACGAAGAAAGAAATAAATATAGATAACACCATTAAAGATATAAAACAAATAAAATATAAAACAAAATTAAGAGAAACGAAAAAAACAAGAACATATTTCATTTTAAGCACAAAATATTCACATATTTTGCACCAATGACAAAATATTTTCATTTTAGGCACAAAATGATAATGTAATATCAAAAGCTACATTGGCCCAACGTGCACAACGAGAGCGTGAAAAAAATGAAAAGTCACACTTTGAATTTCAATGCTTGCAATGAGAACAAGAGGAATCAGAAGAATGTATTCAACCAATACAACCTTCTTTAACACCAATTCATCGCAATCGTGCTTGCCTGGAATGGGAAACAATAACTGAAGATTCTCATTCGACACAAAAACGAACAATGGCTGCCCATCATTCTACATGTTCGTTTTCTATGCCAAGCATATCTTTAGCTCCACAAAGGAATCGGTAAACTACTATGTCTAATCTTGAAATACATACTCTTATTCATACCATTTTGTTTTATAGAATTTTATTTATACACAAATATTTGTAGGTTTACTCCTATAAATCAATTTATTCAAGAAGATCTATGCACTGATGATGAATTAGAAGATATGCCTATGAGTACATCAATTGATACTCGAGCACACAAAGATTCTTGCCGCCATTATCTTGGAAAGATGGATGTATTATGTCCTTATTGTTCAGCTTTACATTGGATGGATGAAAAATTGACCAAATCATCTATAAAGCGTCCCTTATTCAAAACTTGCTATTTAGAAGGAAAGATTAGGCTATCTTTACTTATTACACCCCCTCCATCACTTCAGGTGTTGTATGATGGGAATAATAATCAATCAAAATCCTTTCGAAGTTGTACTCGATTGTGCAATGTAGCCAATGGTTTTACCAGTCTTGGTGCTACATTGGATTTTAGAGTACTCAGTGGAAGGGGCCCTATATCATTCACAATTCATGGGGAATTATGACATCGAACAGGATCACTACAACCACAAGCAGGGCAGGATGTGAGTTATGCTCAATTGTATATCTATGATCTTGATTCAGCGTTATAAATTCGTAATTTTAGAAATCCTAACTTGAGAAGGGATGTTCTTAAAACTATTCAGGATAGTTTGTTGCAACTGAATGTATTTGTAGCTACATTTCGCCAAGCTTATGCCATTTTACATCAATTAGACTGGGCAGGACACAATCTACCTGCTCATCTTCATTACAATTCAACAACTGAGTGATGCCGATATAACCTACCAACTGCAGATGAGATTGCAATTGTAATGCCAGGTGATGGAACAGAGGTAAGTGGAATGAGAGATATTATCTTACATTTCCAAGGAAATAATGAGTTGATGCAAATTAATGAATGTTAACTAGCATACTTGCCATTACATTATGTTCTATTATTTTCATATGGTGAGCTTGGATAGGAACCTAAGGCTGTTCAAAAATCCGTTCAAACCGGTAATCCAGACTGAACCAGACCGAATCTTGCGATTTGGTTCGGTTCTATTAAGAATTGGTTCGGTTTTGGATTAAGAAATATGAGAACCGTAAAAACGGTTCGGTTAATGGATTTTATGAAAAAACCGCGGTTCAAACCGAACCGAACCGAATTTTAAAAGAGATATATATATATAAATATAATATCAAGTTTTATTTTTATTAATTGGTTTCTTATAATTTTAATGATATTAGGATGGCATAGATATTTAATGTTGAGTAATGCCTTAATATTATTAGTTTTTATCATGAGTTAAATGTAATTAGTTTGAGTAATTATTTTGCTAATATTAACAATTTATTCTTGTAAATAGAAATATTTGGAACCGTGAACCAAACCGAAATCGAACCGTTTTTTGGGTTTGGTTTTGGTCTGGTTTTACAAGTGTAATGGTTTGGTCTGGTTCTCAAAATCACAGAGTCGTTAGGATCGGCCTGGTTCTTGGATTTTCTCAAAATCGAACCAATCTGGACAGTGTACACCCCTATGGGAACTTGAGTTGAAATTCTAGAACGTTTAGTATGATCGACCTTTAACTGATTGACTCACTTAAATGGGTTTTTATAATTATCGTTTGTTTGAACAACCCACAGAGTATTCAACAATTTTGAAAGGTGGGAAACTATTTCAAGAGTTTTTGGTAGATGCTTGGGCCACAACTAAGCAAAATTGATTGACATGCTACATGCTTAATCAAAGGAAACTTCGAGTTGAGTTTTACCAAGAGTTGTCAAATATTGATCTAGATTATGTGCGACTTCGTCAAATTGGTTAAAGGTTTGTTTTGCCATCTTCATTTACTGGTAGTCCTAGACATATGTTTGAAATCTTTCAAGATTCAATGGTTATCACCCCGATACAACCAATACCTAGATATTTTTCTTACCATGACTGTAATTCCTAATTAGCCAGAAATTACTTCAGTGTTATTACCACATCAAAAACCTATTGATTGTCCTAATTTAATTGCACGTGTTTTTAAGTTGAAGAGAAAATGTTTGATGAAGGAGATAAAAACAAATAAAGTGTTTGGAAATAAAGTTACACATGTTTTTACAATTGAATTTCAAAAATGAGGCCTCCCCCATATGCATGCACTTTTATTTCTTAAGGGTCCAGACAAAATTCGGACATGTGCTTAAGTAGATAAATTGGTCTGTATAGAATTTCCAAACCCAAAAGATAATCTTATGCTTTTTGAAACTGTCAAACGTTGTGTGGTACATGGACCATGCGGTGCTCGAAATCCGCATGCATCATGTATGAAAAATGGTAGATGCAGTAAGAAGTACCCTTAAGCTTTCACATAAACAACAACTATGGATCAAAATGGATACCCTATCTATCGTCGTCGCAATAATGGTCAAGTACATACTGTGAGGGGGTAAGAAGTTGATAACAAGGATGTTGTACCATACAATGCATATCTTTCTAAACTTTTCAACTGTCATATTAATGTGGAAGTTTGTGCCGAAATGAGATGTGTAAAGTATATACATAAGTACATTTACAAGGGTTATGATTGTACAACGATGGTGTTGGGATCGACAAATGAGATTCAACAATATCTCGATGTAAGGTTTATTGGACCTCTAGAAGCTGCTTGGCGAATATTTGGTCATCCTTTGCATGCAGAGATGCCAACAGTTGTACGATTAGCACTTCATTTACCTGGAATGCATCGCGTTGTTTTTAACCCAGAGGAGTCATTAGAAACGATTCAATCTAGAGCTGGTCAACAAATGTCAACTCTTACTGGCTTCTTTGCATATTGTGCTGCCAGTGAAGATGAATGTCCATTCACTTATCAAGAATTTCCACAACATTTTGTTTGGCTCAAATCGGAAAAGAGATGGAAATCAAGAGAAAGGGGATATGCAATTGGTAGAATGTACTTTGCTAGCCCTAATTGTGGTGAAAGATTTTATCTGCGTTTGTTACTAACTATTGTCAAAGGACCAAAGTCATTTCGGTTTTTACGCACAGTCGATAATGTTGTGCATGATACATTTAAATTAGCATGTGTTGCAAGGGGGCTTTTAGAAGATGATGAAGAATGGATACAATGCTTGAAAGAGGCTGCAGTTATAAAAACTGGATACCAATTGAGGAGATTGTTTAGTATTATTCTCATCCAATGCTCTCCACTAAATCCATGTGCATTATGGAATCAATAAGGGTTATGATCGTACAACGATGGTGTTGGGATCGACAAATGAGATTCAACAATATCTCAATGTAAGATATATTGGACCTCCAGAAGCTACTTGGCGAATATTTGGTCATCCTTTGCATGCAGAGATGCCAACAGTTGTACGATTAGCACTTCATTTACCTGGAATGCATCGCGTTTTTTTTAACCCAGAAGAGTCATTAGAAACGATTCAATCTAGAGCTGGTCAACAAATGTCAACTCTTACTGGCTTCTTTGCATATTGTGCTGCCAGTGAAGATGAATGCCTATTCACTTATCAAGAATTTCCACAACATTTTGTTTGGCTCAAATCAGAAAAGAGATGGAAATCAAGAGAAAGAGGATATGCAATTGGTAGAATGTACTTTGTTAGCCCTAATTGTGGTGAAAGATTTTATCTGCGTTTGTTACTAACTATTGTCAAAGGACCAAAGTCATTTCGGTTTTTATGCACGGTCGATAATGTTGTGCATGATACATTTAAATTAGCATGTGTTGCAAGGGGGCTTTTAGAAGATGATGAAGAATGGATACAATGCTTGAAAGAGGCTGCAGTTATAAAAACTGGATACCAATTGAGGAGATTGTTTAGGATTATTCTCATCCAATGCTCTCCACTAAATCCATGTGCATTATGGAATCAATTCTCAATGGATATATGTGATGATTTCGCACGTAAGATTCGTATATTGTTTGTCATTTCTAACCCAACTGAGGCTCAAATTGAAGATTATTGTAACAACCCTGATCCGCAATTAGCTTCTAATCCGTAATTAAGGATGTTAATCAAGTGGATAAAATAAATTATGTGTTTATTATGTATTTTGCATGATCTTTGGCTTTCTATCTGTTACTTGTAGAAATATCTGTCTGGAATTCCGCTTTAATATGTAAATTGAAAGCCTTATTGGCACCCGAAATCGGAATTAGTTACATGAATATGTTATTCAGAATTTTTAGAACCATATGGCAAATTTTACTAAAAATTGATTCAGTCTGATTAATTAAGTTGTGTTTGGTTGGCCAAATGTTCTAATTAATGTATTATGGCATCATGACTATATATATGAGCCCTTAAGCTCATTCTTGAGCTCAATTTGCTCCAAGTGAGTGCTAAATTTTGAGAGTTTATTTTAGAGAGAGAGTGGGTGCAATTCTAGAGAGAGAAAAGAAGAGATTGAAGGAGAATTGAAGACCTTGGCTAGAATCCATCAAAATTAAGCTAGAACAAGAGTGATTCAAGACTCTAGGTAAGCCTTTGGCTATTAATTCATGAAGATTATGTATTGTAGAGATGAAATCATAGAGTTGTTATGCTCATTTGCATGTATTTCACATATGTTTGTCAAGAAGATGGAGAATTTGATTATAATTCTAACATGCATGTATATATAAGTGTTAATCATCATCAATTGTGTTGAGTTTGGTGTATGAAGTGTACATGTATGCATATATCAACAAGTTTTGTAAGTAAATTTCCATGTTTGAGGAGTCTTAGGGAAGAATTAAGAAGAAAATTCTACATGCATGCCTAAATATGTGGGGTTTTGCTATATCAAGTTTGATTTTGATCATTTATGTAGAAATTATGGATAATTGACATGTGCATGTTTGAATTATCATGTTTGAACCTTGGTTTCATGTTTTGGAAAATAATTCCTTACATGCATGGAGTTTATAAGCTCAAATTTTGTTAACTTCATAAGTTTTGGAGAAAAGAGTTTGAAAGATTTTACATGCATGCTTTGTTTCTTAAGTTCCAAATGAATTTTGAGCTATTAGCAAGCTCTTGGGCCATGATTTCATGAAATAATCCTTAATTCAGCATATTCTGTAAGTTCACAAATGTTATCTCAAGTTTTGGGGCCCAAGAGATGTGTTTTGGAGAGTTGAATTTGAGTTTTGAGCTTGGAGATCAAATATGGAAATTCCAGAATTTGCACTTACGCTCGAGCGTAGGAGTTCATGCTCGAGCGACCACTTTGAGTGCGTGCACTTCCGCTCGAGCGACCAGAAGTCTGCTCGAGCATGAAATGCAGGCTCCTAAAAGTTTCGTATGTTTACAGACTGCTTGAGCGAAGGAAGCTGTGCTCGAGCGACCATTCACATTTTGCATGTCCGCTCGAGTGAGGAAAGCTACGCTTGAGCGGGGACCCTGTTTTCAGAAATTTGACTAAGTATTTTCCAATGCATTTTGGCATCCTCATTGCATCTTAGGCATCCTAAGCCTTAATTTAGCCATAGTAATGAGGGTGTGAAGTAGAAACACACTAAGAAAGGAACGTACTAAGTTAAGAAATTACAAGTGTGTGTTTTAAGCAATTTGATAAGAAAGAACAAGAATCAATGTAATGAAAGCTAAACTGTGATGGCCACATGAATGCGTAATGATAAGATATGTTTGTGTTATGTACTTTTGTGTTTGTAGATCAATGTCCGAAGATTGATTGACCGTTTACGGGAGCCCACTGTGAGTAACGTTATTGTAAAGATATGTTCATATGAATTATGTTTCAAATGTGATATGTTAAGTCATGATTTCTGAAATGATTAGTTACGTGAATGAATGTCCTATGTTTGAAATCTATTATGGCATCCATTGATCGTCCCAAGTCATAGGGGAGGGCATGTAAATACGGGTCCACGACATATATGTGATTACGAGATCTCGTTAGCCACTGCATTGTGGTGATATGTGTTTAATCGGTATCTGGAACCGATTACTCTAGTCAGAAGACGATATATGATGTGTTCTATGAGATGTACCATTATTATGTTCAGATACGAGAATATTTATGCTATGGTCTATTTTACGCTTATGACATGTTTGGATTTTGTTCACTAACCTCTTTACCTTAATGTTATTCACTGGCCTTTAGCTCACTGTGTGTATATATATGTATAGATGGGCATTCTGGAGACCGAGCCTGAAGGCTTTTGTCTGGATTTGTATTCTGTTGTCAGCCAACCATTGTGCCTCACGTGGGGGCTCCTAAAGTATCACGTGTGTTAAAGCTCCGGTTGTTTCTGTATATGAAACTTGTAACTTCTGTTGGCTGTACTTAGGATGCTATTATGTGTGTGGGTTATTATGATATTGGATATGTATATAAAGTCTTAAATATTCTGTTTCATATAAGTCTGCACAGCTCAATGGACAACTTTATTCATGTATTTGCTTCCGCTAGCCCTTTAATTTTGTTAATCAGTTCAGAGTCCTTCGGTAATCCAAGGATTACTGGCCGATTACGATGCTAAACCTACAGGGGCGGGTTTGGGTCATGACAATTATGGTCTCCATCTTTTGAATCAAATGCTTCATCAATCAAGCAAATGTTTAATTGACTTCCCATCCATGCCTCAACCTACTGCAAATTAGAGTGCAGTAGTTGGTAATCAATTGATATTTGAACATCAACAACTACAGAATGAGGCACAACAGTTAGATCCACAAATTAATATTGCTTGTCTCAATAATGGACAACGGAATGCTTATAACACAATCACTTCTTCAATTTTTCAAAATAAAGGAACTGTTTTCTTTCTGAATGGGGGTGCTGGAACAAGGAAAACATTTCTGTACAATACGATTACATTAAAATGTCGCAGTCTTGGGCATATCGTTGTTATTGTGGCTTCATCTAGAATTGCATCATTGTTATTGGTAGGAGGTCGCACTGCACATTTAACATTTTCCATTCCGTTAGATGTCTTGGAAAATTCACTTTGTGGGTTTACCAAACAATTATTACAAGTTGAGTTATTTACAGAAACAAAACTCATAATTTGGGATGAAATTCCTATGGAACATAGACATTGTGTTGAGACAGTTGATCGTACATTGAGGGATATTCGTGATAGTGAAAAGCCATTTGAGGGTATTACTGTTGTTTTTGGTGGAGACTTTCAACAAATCTTACTAGTTATAGTCAAAGGAGTTCGTGACCAAATTGTGAATGCATCATTAAGATACTCTATTATATGGAAGCATATACATATCTTAACTTTTGATTTGAATATGCGCTTGAATCATGGAGACCATGAAAATGCTATTTTTGCAAATTTCTTAATGGAGGTAACACTACTTTAACCTTTTTCTTTATTATATAGATTATTTTAAATTAATAAATTGTGTTTACACACATATTTTTTTTTAATTGATTTCATTTTTTTTAGATTGGGACTAATCCTCAAGAAATGATCAACCGTCCATTAACAATACACAAATGTCAAGATTTGAATGAATTATTCTCTACAGTTTACCCATAGTTGAATATGATAGAGACGTCGACTCCAACATTTTTAACTGAACGCACCATTCTGTCTGTACGTAACGATGATGTCAGTGACATTAATACTACTGCGTTGAATCATATTTTTTTTAATTGATTTCATTTTTTTTAGATTGGGACTAATCCTCAAGAAATCATCAACCGTCCATCAACAATACACAAATGTCAAGATTTGAATGAATTATTCTCTACAGTTTACCCATAGTTGAATATGATAGAGACGTCGACTCCAACATTTTTAACTGAACGCACCATTCTATCTGCGCATAACGATGATGTTAGTGATATTAATACTACTGCGTTGAATATCTTTCCAGGGAGATTATATACTTATTTTGCAGCAGATAAAATGTCTGAAGGTAATGAAATTGATCCTACCATTACAAATAGATATCCTAATGAATATTTAAATTCATTGGATCCTCCTAGGCTACCAACTTTTAAGTTAGAGTTGAAAGTGGGTTGTCCTATAATATTGTTAAGAAATATTACACCGAAAGATGGACTATGTAATGGTACAAGATTGATGGTTACTAGGTGTGACACTCGCATAATTGAAGCTCAACTTTTAACTGGAGAAAAGTTTGGCAATTTGGCATTCATACCAAGGATATCTTTGACACCATCTTCTTCAGAAATGCCTTTCCAAATGACAAGACGTCAATTTCCAGTTTGATTAGAACATGCCTTGACCATAAATAAATCTCAAGAACAATCTGTGAAATTTGTTGGAGTTGATTTGCGCATACCAGTGTTTAGCCATGGCCAATTATATGTGGTATTGTCCAGATGTACATCCTTTGATCGTATAAGTATTCTCCTTCCTAAAGATAGTTTGGATTCTACTACAAATATTGTTTATCCTGAATTGTTGTTGTAGTGTTCCATGTTCATTAAATCATGTTTTATCAAAAGGTAATCATGTAGATTTATTTCTATTGATTATATATATATATATATATATATTTTTTTTATAAAATTTCAATTTAATAATAATTGAAAATATGGGTTTTTTTATGATTGGATTGAAAAATTTATGGAGCTTAAAAGGAGAAATACAACTAGCTTGCTTTGATGGGGATGTAATAAGGTAATTTCAATCTCAAAGTATTTTTATATGTATATTTCCAACAAATATAACAATCTATATTTATTTATTTTTTGTTTCCACAAATTACTACATTGTTGTGCATGTTCCTCATTGGGGATACATACAAGTTGATACAAAGACTTTTTCGAAAGTAATGAGGAGGAAGTTTGGGCAAACACATGTTTGAAGACATGTTATTGACACATCTTCTATAAAGCATACATATTCTGGAAAGCTTTAACCCACCTTTTTTTTTTTTATAAAGTTTTAACCTACTCTTTTGGTGTATGACAATATAATGTTTGCTTTTCTTATGTAGTTATAATTTGATTGGCAGCAGTAGCACTAACTGGTGTGCATTTTAATTTTAATTTCTTTTAAATTGCAGAGCAATGGCTAGTGTGCATTATTTGATATTTAATTTTTTTTTATATTTGATTTGTTTGAAATTGTAGAGTACCCTGTTAAATATATTTTTGTAACTGCATTTTAATCTTAATATTATTTACAACGTACCTTTAGGCACAAGCATACACTAGTAATTTTATATTACATAATTAATTTGGAGGCCTATGTAAATATTACTACATAGGCTTTTAGACTACTAAATAATTACAACCTCTTTTTGGTAGCAGAAGACAACTTATACTCGAGTGATGTCTTCTACTATCGCAAATGCACATTTGTTTTAGGATTAGTTGTTAAAAAGTCTAAGGAAAGTATAAGATATTACGTTTAGTAAATACTTTTTTGTTAGTGAAAAGTTCACATTTTATGAAATAATTTGGTAAAAAATTATTTTGTTAGTTTTAAAAGACATTTTTTTTTTAAAAATTTTATCCCTTAATTTATATGTTGATTTTTTTTAACTGTCGATTTTCGTTGACTATATATTCAATTTTTATCCTATCTGTTCAAAAAACTTTATTATTTGTTCAAATTTTTTTTATCTGTTCAAATTTGTTCTCTATGCAAATTTTATTATCTGTTTAATTTTTAATTTTTTTTTCTATCTGTTGAAATACAAAGCCAAACCAAATTTTATTATTCGTTTAAATTGTGATATACATACACACAAAGACAGATTGATCTATTAAAAAAAAAAGACTATTCAAATCAAATTATCATATAGAGAAAAAAAGAGTGATCTGTTCAAATACACCAAGCCACTATGAGTTCAAATCTTTCTTTCTCTCTCTCTCTCTCTCTTGTTCTTTCTACTTATCTGTTGAAGTTTCCCCAGCAATAATATTCATTCATTCATCCATCCTATGCTATTGTGATAACAATTTTTTATCTGTTGAAATATGAACCGAAACAAAATCCTATATGTTGAGCCAAACAGACTAGTGATCTGTTTCATCATCATCATCATCAAAAAAAAAAAAAAAAAAATCTGAGCCAAGAATATAGAAAAGAGTAGATAGAAAAAAATATCAACAACTACTATTAAAAAAAAATCAGATCAGAGAGAGAGAGAGAGAGAGAGAGAGAGAGAGAGAGAGAAAGAGAGAGATGAGGGAGAGAGTAAGTCTCGTCAGAATCACCCTGTTTCAAGGATCTGTGGTTTATGTTGTTGTAGACACCCCATTTTTAATCGCCTTAAGATTTGGGCACTACTGATGTTTCATTTGGTGGAGAAAGGTGTGCAGGGCAAAAGATTCAGTTTCTTCGACAAGGAGAGAGTCAAATCTCAACTTCATACCCCTTTTTTTGGACCAAAAAAATCTTGATCAAAAGATTTTAGACTTGAAACCCTCTCTTTCAAAACGTTTTGAAAATAAAGTTCTACGATGTTCCGACGCTCGCATTTTGTTAAATGTCGCGCTTTTCGGTAAACCGAGCAAGGGCAAAGTGGAAATGAACGAAAGAGAGATGAGATCTTTGAAAAATCTTTCAAAACAGCTTGTTCGGGGGTTTGGAGTTGAAGGAAAGAAGAGTGGAGAGAAGAAACCTAGTTGAGGAAGAGGATGGGCATGAATCGCTAAGAGAGAGTCGAGCGGTCCTCGCTAAATCAGGCTTATCTGTCTATACACTTGGATTTAAGCTATGAGGCCACCACCGTTGGAAAGAAAACTTCCGGGGCTTCATTTTTCACTCAAAAATATCCTAAGGCCAAGTCCGGACGGGGGAGATATGGTTGGTTGAAGTAGGGCATCAATCCGGTTGGACCGAATCTGCGCGGCTTCACCAAAATAGGCATAACTTTTTGCACAGATAGAATTTTAATACAAGGTTTGCACCATTGGAAAGATAACTTCTGGGGCTTCATCCTAGGAGGTGGCTGACCACCTTGAACCTTTTGACCTGGTCGGCCGACCAGGTCAAGTGGTCGGCCGACCAGTTGAACTGGTCGGCCAGCTCCCATCCTGTTTGTCTCAGTGAGTGTGTTCCAGCTGTGCCAGCTGGGAGGCATTTGCTGTATGGAGGATCTTGGCCCTTGGTTTGAAGCTTCTTTGAGAAGCTTTAGACCTTTTGTTCTATAAGAGAAACCATATCCCTCACTTGAAAGGGTGGAAAAAATTGCTAGGGCTAAACAATATATCTCTCTTTATATCTCTCTCTTTTGAGCTCTAAATTGCTTGGTTCTTTGCCCCATTTGCATCACCTCTCATAGCCTAACACTTCCATCATCAACCTAAGGTCCTTGGAGGGTATTTTCAGAGGTTCAAGGTTGGGTTTATGGGTCCAGAGGCTGCTGGTTTTTGCTGGTCTTCAAGGGTAACCATTTTTTCCCTTTTGAGCATTATTTTGATCCATCGGGAACTTATATCTGTCTGCACTCTGTTACCCATACTGGAGGCCTCGTCACGGGGGCTCAGCTTCTGTTCTGTTCTGTTCTGTTACCCGAATTCGAAGGTTCCTTTATGGAACTGGTTATTCATAACCATCACGTGTCTGTATCTTTTCTGTATCTGCTAAGCCTATATCTGTTCTGTATCTACTATGTTTGTATCTGTTATGTATCTGCTATGTCTGTATCTGTTCTGCATCTATTCTGTATCTGCTCTGTTAGCGCTAATGAATGCACCACGTATGCTTAAGCAAGAATTGTGCCAGCTATGTATGATCTGGACAAGAATATGAAAATGAACATGTATTTGAATCTGTTCTGGACAAAAATCTAAATGGGTATAAGACTCTGTTTTGATATGAACCCTACTCTCTGTATATAATTTATAATAATTTATAATCCTGCTAATGCTTGAAGCTAAGGTCAAGATCGGGTTGAGCATGTCCATGAATATGGTTGTGCTTCTATTTTATAAAGAGCTAGAACTATACCTCTGTTGAACATCCTGTCTTTAATATAAGATAATCCGAGTTTGGAGGACCAAACTCTTTGTAAGGAGGGGAGACTGTGACAATCCTCCCAAAGGCCTAGGCATGCAGGCATACAAGCTAAGGCATAAACTAGGCAACAGTGCATAACACTCAAAGGCACTTAAAGCATGATTAAGGTAGGAACATGGCAATGTTATAAGCTCTGAAATGTCATGTTAAGTGATGCCAAATCATGTACACAACGCAAATGAAGCATGCAATGGTGCTCAAAGCTTGAGGCAAGCAAGAGCATTTGTATTACAAGTATACAAAACATGAAGCATGTGGTCAAGGCAACCCAAAACAGTCCTAGAACATGTCAAAATAAGTCTAAAGCATGCATGGGAGGAAGCCAAAACAAGCTAGCATGGAGGGCATGAAGCA